TAATGTAAGCAGCCATTGTGTTCAAGGTACTAAATTCTTCAGTAGGAGAAGTGAAAAGTACCCACCCACCCCCCAAGTGGTCATCATATCTTTTTTTTTTTTTTTTTTTTGGTTTTTCGAGACAGGGTTTCTCTGTGTAGCTTTGTGCCTGTCCTGGAACTCACTCTGTAGCCCAGGCTGGCCTCGAACTCACAGAAATCCACCTGCCTCTGTCTCCCGAGTGCTGGGATTAAAGGCATGCGCCACCACCGCCTGGCGGTCATCATATCTTAGCCTGTTTTTTTCTTAAAGGTGTTTGACATAATGAATAAAATTCAAAGTTTTAGAGCATAATAAATACATGTCCAAATGGAAGCACATTTCTGAACTCTTGAGGACTGTTGTATAGAAACTTATTGTTTCATAAGAAGGGGATATGAAAAGCTGTTGGAATAAGAAAAGCAATTTTCATGTGCAAACCCTTTGTTTCCTCAAGGAATTCCATAAGCAAATTATGTGAAATAATGTTAAGGTAAATTTAAAGTTTTATTTTGCACAGTGCCTCTAACCTTCCTGTTTTTATTATCTTGGTACTTGGGTGTGCAAAGTAATGGAAGACTGCTAGGTAGAGATTTATAAAGCAAATACCGCATTTCAGAAACTGATGCAGGTGGTCTACACATATCAAGGTAACTTTACCTCATGAAAGACCCATGAGATCTCCCTCTTGCAGACATGATTCTGTGGCTCAGAAGGAACAAAGACTTCTAAGAGCCATGTTCTAAGTCACCTCCATGGGACTGCTATGTGGTTTTAGCTTACTAACAGCCATAATCTCTTTCTCATGTATTTCAAAATCCCATGGTTGCTTCACTTAATGAATAATGTTTTGTCAATAGCAACAATTTTTCATGATTTTTATTTTTAAAAAACAACAAAAAAAAAACACTGCTACTCAGATATTTTGCACATTATTTCTCAAGACCATCCCATGTTTAAAATCATAGCTTCCCCTCACAGAGATATAATTTGTTTTAATTAGGTCACCTAAATGTCAATTATTTATATTGACTGCAGCAATCCTAATTTGGGGATTTCACAGGTCTTCTTCTTGCCTGGTACTCTGGCAATCTTTTCTGCTTTGCATAATCTTAATTATATTACTTTATTGAGGGGATGCAAGAAAAATGACATTCTTGTAAAGTGACTTCTCAATTAAATCAAACAGATCTGATAAGATTAAAGAAAATGCTGGCAAAGCACTGAGTGGTAAGAAAAAGAGACCATCTATGTTAAATGAGTTACCAGGGACAAAACACAGAATCCTATCAGGATACTGTTCACTTAGCATAATTAGTAGTTTTTCTTACCATTGAGCTAAATGATTTATTAACTGTCAGTGCTAAGAGGAAATGCCGCAGTAATTATTCCAAAACACCATGTCTTGATTTATGCAGCAACTTTAATTTCCAAATACTTTAATCCTCTTTAGTGTTTATCATGTTTTGATAAAATAAGAGTCTTATAGATACAAATTTAAAGATAGAGCAGAGGTCACATACTGAGTGATTGGATGAGAATCTTTTAGTTATAACAGTAAGCCTAGAGTTCTGTCTCTTAACAGTTGGAATTAGAGCACCTTCAGCAAAAATGCCACTGCCTCTGAGTAAAGGGGCCATAGAATAGCTACTGTCAATCCTCAGTTGCTTTCCCTTTTCTTTCAATAACTGAAAGTAAACATTTCAATATCAACTTTTAAGAAACTGTATCATTAAAGAAAAAAAAAAACACAGGATTATAAGCCATAAGACTTTGTGAGCTCCTTTTTTTTTAAAAAAAAAAAAAGTTTTCACATCGAAATACTATCAACTTCAATAAGAACTTTAAGAGCTATGTGCACATTTACTTTCTTGGCCCCTGAGAGGCTGAGGCAGGGGGATTCCAACATAGAGGACAGTTCTGATTACCTAGAAAGTTCTAGACTGTTCTGGACTATAAGATCCCCTTTGTTAAAAACAGAACTAGCTCCTTCAGGTTTTCATCAATTATGGGAGATATTTATGGGAACTAGAAATAGAGCTGTGTTTACAAAACTGTTAGTGGAATATGATTGGACTAACTTGGATCATAAAACCCCAAGATTACATTGACTTTAACCCTACTGTGCATATGCTGTATTATTACAGGAAAGCAAATTCTTCACATACATGCAACCAGGAGGAAAATTGTACAGAGATTGACTGCATAAATCTTCCATGTTAATGTTCAATATGTAGATTTTTGAGAGAGTGGGAAAGTTGAAAGCATCAGAAACACACAGCATGGAATCACAGCACTATGCTTTGTTTAATCTATGAACTAAATACTTATAGCATAAGCATTCACTTGTTTAAACATAGCACAGTGGACTATGAAACAGTTTGATACTTACACATATTTGTTTGGTGTCATGCCTGGGTAGAAGACAAATGTGCTTATAGGAGACTGACAGGCATGATATTAACATAATACATATGGCCTCTTAAGAACAGAGTTTATGTTATCACATTATTCTAGTCTAACTCATATAATGGAATTTTCCCAACTTCCAGTCCTGAGAAAACTCCTCCCAGAGTGTTGGAGAAGATGCTACATCCAGCGTGGGGTAACTGGGGGAAAGGAATCTACCTACACTATGCTCTTTTCTCTGTTTACTTTATTCCTTTATGACAAAATTCTATCTATATAGTTTCAGTTCCATCCTGAGTCTCAGTTCCTCTCTGAACCTACTTTTTCTGTCCCCTCATAGCCCTGGTAATAACTAAGCCCTTGAGCTTTTGATCGATTCTTTGTCCCCTGTTCCTTCGTTCTCCATCTTTTCTTTCTCTTCTCCTCACCTGATGTGATTCACCTACAATCTACAAGAAACTTTTCCTTGCTCCTCACTCTTCAGCCTGAGCCATTCTGCTTTACCATCCACAGAATCTCTGTATTCCTACCTTTTCTCTGGCCATGTGGTTCTGTGTCTGCTTCTTGAATTCTGCTCTAGTCCTTACTGCACCTGGTTATGCAAAAAGCCCTATTGTCCTCAGTCAATTTCTCTGCCACACTCCTAGGCCTCAAGGAAGGGGATGGTCTGAGCTTCTTTTGCACAAGAAGCAAAGCTATGCATCTACAGCCTGCTTGTCTCCTAGACTCAGTGGGGGAGTTAGTTACCTAGAGGTTTAGCAAATCTGAGAAGCTGAACTGTTTGGCAATGGTCTAGTAGTATATGAGCCCACAAGAAATTCATAGCAAGGCGCAGCTGAATATTAAAGCTGTATAACACCAAATATTCTGTGATAAATGGCTTCCCATTTGACGGACCCTTGGTTGATCAAAGTATAGCTTTAATACACAGCTGAATCTCTATAATATATTTTTGTGGCCAGAAGACTCATATATTAGATATTTCTCTTAAAATAAATCAAGATGTTAGCCCTTATTCCTTTGCTATAAAATTATTTGGGGATATTAGTCAGAGGAAAGTTATGAAGCATATATATGTCAAACAAAGCCCGAATTTCCCGATGCACAGCACCCATTTCTATCATTAATGGCAATTGTATTCCTATTCCACTAATATTTACCTGTCTTTTAAAATAAAATCAAACACATAATATACTTGAGTTCTATAACATCTTTCCTAATAATATATTATAAAAAATTCTGACACCAAATATAGAGCCACATCATCATGCTAGTGTAGGTCTAGACCTTGACTGTAAGTACACACCAAAATTCATGCAACCAATTGATGCACAATTCTGCTATGCTCAGGATTGGCATTTTTTAAGTCATATTGAAACCAGTTGTAACTTTTTTATTTTGATAATGTGCATGCCCAGACACATAACAAATTGTTTCTCATTGTAAAATGGTGAAAAGCAATGTAAAAAGTAAATGTGATGAAGACTTCCACAGCTTTCAATTCAACTGGTAAAACACATGTGAGAGAGAGTAAATCAATTCATATTTTCCCAAGGAATGAAGGTTGCCCAGAAACTTGGATTGTTGTATATATGTGTTATTGTGTGCATATATGTGTATGTATATACACATACATGTACACACATACTGAATTTATAAATATATATCATATATAAAAATATAATATATTTGAATATATATGTGTATGTGTATATGTATGTATATATTCAATTCTGTATTACCTAGTAAGAAATTATGGGCTATCTCTAAGTTTAAAAAATGAGGTTACAGTGTGGTGCCAGGCACATAATAAAGAGGTAGGTAAGAATTTTACAAAAACAACTGACCAGGAATGCGTCTTTATTCATGCTTCTGTTCTTTATTTGTTTTTGGGATAATATGAGTTATGTAGGACCAAGGAAATAAATGGTATTTGTAGAGATTGGAGGTCTTTACAAATGTCCATGATCCATATTTAGTTATTAAATATTACTGATATCCCAGAGAAGTTTCTCATGTTTTCTTTCTAGTATTCATGCTTTCAAAAAGTATGTTTGTGCAGTAACATAAATTATTTTCCTGTAATTCAAATATATGTATATATACATATATAAATATACTGATTTTTAAGAGTGTGACATTTATACATATTGGTCAATATATAAGTTAATTTAATAAATCTTCTACTGAAAGAATACACAGGAACTGTCTACAGTTGCGTGAATCTCTTTCATTTTAACGTGTATAATTTTACATTTGGAAAATGTTTTTGAATTAAATTCATTTTAAAACATAAGATCTTCAAAATTAAACTCACTGTGTAGACTCCTTTAGATATTTTGAATTTCTGTCACTATCCTGTTGCCTTTGCTTACAGAGAGAAAGTACTTGGGGACTACAGTTATTCCTAGCTTGTATGCCAATTAACAATAATAACTTAATAGCTTGGTTTTCTAATTGTCCTTAAACAATATGAAGAAACAACATGGAACTTTTGGCTTTTGATTTCATTTTATTAATGAATTTTTTATTCATTTTACATACCAACCACAGACCCCCCTCTCTTCCCTCCTCCCACTCCTCCAGCCTTTCCACATGGCCCACAACTCACTCCCTCCTCCAACAAGGTAAGGTCTTCAATGAGGAGTCAGCAGAACCTGGTAGATTCAGTAGAGATAGATCCAAGCCCCTCCCCATGCATCAAGGCTGTGCAAGGTATCCCACCATAGGCTCAAAAAAGCCAGATCATGCACCAGGGATGGATCCTGATCCTACTACCGGGGCCCCTTTAGCAGATCAAGCTGCACAACTGTCTCGCCTATGCAGAGGGCTTAGTCCAGTCCCATGGAGGTTCTGTAGCTGTTGGTCTAAAGTTCATGAATTCCCACTAGTTTGGTTTGGTTGTCTCTGTAGGTTTCCCCATCATGATCTTAATGCCCCTTGCTCATAGAATCCTTCTTCTCTCTCTCTTTGACTGGACTCCTGGAGCTCGGCCTGGTGCTTGGCTGTGGATCTCTGCATCAGTTTCCATCAGTTATTGGATGAAGGCTCTATGATGACAGTTAGGGTAGTCACTGATCTGATTACTGGGTTAAGCCAGTTAAGGTACCCTCTCCACTATTAGTAGTAGTCTAAGCTGGGGTCATCCTTGTGGATTCCTAGGAACTTCCCTAGCACCCGGTTTCTCCCTATCCCCATGATGTTTCACTCTATCATGATATCTCTTTCATTGCTCTCCCACTCTGTTCCTGTTACAGCTCAACCATCCCATTCACTTATGTTCTCATCCCTCATCCCCTACCCTCTATTGTCAACCCCCACCACCACCTCATCCCCAGTTTACTCATGGAGATCTCATGTATTTTCCCTTCCCAGGGCAATCCATGTGTCCCTCTTAGGGTTCTCTTTGTTAGCTAGCTTCTCTGGAGCTGTGGGTTGTAGTCTGGTTATCCATTGCTTTACATCTAGTATCCACTTATGAGTGAGTATGTACTGTGTTTGTCCTTCTGAGTTTGGGTTACCTCACTCAGGATGATATTTTCTAATTCCATCCATTTGCCTGTAAATTTCATGTTGTCATTGTTTTTTACTGCTAAATACTCTATTGTGTATATGTAACACATTTTCTTTATGCATTCTTTAGTTGAAGGGCATCTAGGTTGTTTCCAGGTTCTGGCTATTATGAATAATGCTGCTAAGAACATAGGTAAGCATATGTCCTTGTGGTATGGATGAGCATTCCTTGGGTGTATGACCAAGAGTGATATAGCTAGGTCTTGAGGAAGATTGATTCCCAATTTTCTGAGAAACCGCCATACTGATTTCAAGAGTGGCTGTACAAGTTTGCACTCCCACCAACAGTGAAGGAGTGTTCCCCTTGTTCCACATCCTCTCCAACATACGCTGTTATCAGTGTTTTTGATCTTAGCCATTCTGACAGGTGTAAGATGGTATCTCAGAGTCATTTTGATTTGCATTTCCCTTATGATTAAGGATGCTGTAGTGGGTAGCCATTCCAGCTTTGATCTGGAAGTTCCAACCCCCATTGAGGCTTCAGTAACTGTCATGCCTACAAGGCAGGGCCAAGAGAGGGCCCTGAAGACCTGAGATCCAGATGTGATGCTCTCTCTCTGTTCCTGGACCCTGGACAGTGGAGGTTGACTGAGCAGAGTTCTCCAGAGAACACCACCAGACTGTGACACACCTTCCCCAGACCCTGTGACCTACCTATCCCTTCATTTGTAAGTTATGCCACTAATAAACCTCCCTTGTAACTACATGGAGCGGCCTTAATAATTTCACCAATAGGATGTTGAGCAATTCTTTAAATATCTTTCAGCCATTTAAGATTCTTCTGTTAAGAATTCTCTGTTTTTGCCGGGCAGTGGTGGAACATGCCTTTAATCCCAGCACTCGGGAGGCAGAGGCAGGCGGATCTCTGTGAGTTCGAGGCCAGCCTGGGCTACCAAGTGAGTTCCAGGAAAGGCGCAAAGCTACACAGAGAAACCCTGTCTCGAAAAACCAAAAAAAAAAAAAAAAGAATTCTCTGTTTAGCTCTACAGCCCATTTTTAAATTAGATTGTTTGCTATTTTGATGTCTAGCTTTTTTTTTTAAATTTCTTTATATATTTTGGAGATAATCCCTTTGTCAGATATGGGGTTGGTGAAGATCTTTTCCCATTCTGTAGGCTGTCGTTTTGTCTTATTGACAGTTTCCTTTGCCTTACAAAAGCTTCTCAGTTTCAAGAGGTCCCATTTATTAATTGTTGTTCTTAGTGTCTGTGCTTCTGCTTTAGGAAATGGTTTCCTGTGCCAATACATTCAAGACTACTTTCTATTTTCTCTTCTACCAGGTTCAGTGTAACTGGCTTTGCAACATGGAACTTTTTATGCTGAGTTTTTCGTATTGAGTGTGGTCTCTCTTTGAGGAAAGCACGTGTAGCTTGCAAGCATGTCTACGGAGTCAGTAGTCATCCAGAGATGTTTCCAGGTGTACAATGTGCATGCAGGCCAACAGGAAACAGGCTGGAGGCCAAGTGTCCAAGAGCCAGCCTGTCTGCAGCAAGATCTTTGAAATCTATGTCATGTGCTATTCAGATAAGTCTATTTTGCACATTCATGTCACATCACGCCAGCCTATTGGAGCTCCTCCAGGTCTTGTAAGCTGTGATGTTTTGGAGGAAAAGCTGCAGAAAGCAGAGCAGATAAGATGTGGTGGTCTGCACTGCTGCAATGGACCCGAGAGCAGAAGGGACACTTGCTGTCTCCCTTTGCTATCAACCACATACACTGATATGGGTGGTTTGCCTCATTGGATAATCACCCAGGCATCTTAGTAACCACACACACACACACACACACACACACACACACACACACACACACACACACACACACACACAAAAAACAAAACAAAACCTAACAAAATAAAACAAAACAAAAAACATACAAACTTTTTTCAAAAAGTCAAAAACCTACACTCTCATTCAAGCATCAAATTCCAGCAGCTCCACTTGCAGGATTTGATAGTTATCTCTCTTCCAGTGACATAACCTTATATTCTGTGTTAGTTTCTGCTAACTTAATCCACTGGGAGGTGTGTGTGCGCACGTGCACACATGTGTGCACATGTGTGACATGTGTGCCTGTATTTCTTCATTTTTTTTGAAATTATAGTATAATTACATTTCTCCCTTCTCTTTCCTCTCTCCAAACTCTCTCATATATCCATCCTGTTTTCCCTTAAATTCACTTCGTCTTTTTTCATTGTTATTGCATGAATATATGTGTGCGTATATACATATATACTCTAAGTATAAACTGCTCTTTCAATATTATGTTTCTTGTATGTGTGTTTTCAGGGCTGTTTGGCACTGAACAACCAATTGATGTTCTCTTTTCCTGGGAAGACCATCTCTCTACGTTCACTGCATCCAAGTTCTAAGTTTCTACCAGAACGTCCCTATCTGTGTCCACCCACAATTCCCTTCTGTCTTGCCTCTGCCAGTCTCCCCAGTCCTTTTCCAAGGTCTTCACTGATAAGCATCCCTCACAACCCCATCTTCTTCTCCTTTAGAAACATGCCAGGTCTAGCTTAGGTGGGATAACCAGTACCCAGGCCTAATCTGGCCACCTGTGTCTGCTCACCAGCCAACCACTAGTCTGCCATAGGGTTACACACATGGTTCTCTGACCTAATTTGACCACTGCTGCCATCACTGCAGGCAAGGTATAGGCTTTTGCCAGGACTTGTCCCACCTGCAACTACCTCTGGGCCACTTCCATCACTCCACTGGATTCCCAGACTTCCCAGGGGTCTTCCTCTGGGGATCTAGTCGGGTGAATACTCCCTAGCCTCCCCATTCATGAATTTTCTGATACCAACCAGATTTATCCTGGGTTCCACAACCAATGGGTGGCCTAGTATGGCCTTCCCTGCCTTCACTGCAGAGAAGCTTTGTCCAGGATCTTCCCCACTAACTCCCCCAAACCACAGGACTCCCCCATATTATATTTAACTTTTCCACCCAGTCTCCATTTTAATTGACTAGATTCCACTGTTAGATTTCCCTCAAATGCATTTTAGTTTTCTGGGCAAAAAAAAAAATCTCCATTTTTTTCTCATTTTCTGCATCATAAGCTGCAGATAAATTTAAAGTTTTAGTTTTCTTTTTCTTCTCTGTCTTCTTGTACATACATTAAATGAGTAGTTTAATGCACAAATAGGACAGTATGGATGATGTTATGTTCTTTTTTTTGGTTTTTTGAGACAAGGTTTCTCTGTGTAGCTTTGTACCTTTCCTGGAACTCACTCTGTAGACCAGGCTGGCCTCGAACTCACAGAGATCCGCCTGGCTCTGCATCCCATGTGCTGGGATTAAAGGCATGCACCACTACCGCCTGGCTCGATGTTTCGTTCCTTTAGAGATGAACCAATTTCTTAAACAGAAAAACCAAACCAAGCAAAACAAACAACAAAACCCATATAGTGAACACCTTCAGGTTAGATGATCTCTCCCCTTCAGATGATCTCTCCACTTCAGAGATCTCACTGGAAGGCCAAGCACATACTGTGGTCACTCTTCTTTGATGCATCTTGAAATCAAGATTTATTTTTTTCAGTTTCACAGTTATGCCAAAAACTCTGCTGAGCACTAGTCTATTACTTTCTGTTTGCCCATTTTTAGAAATATTCTGAGTTTAGAAATCATCAAATACCTAAAGTCGAAAGAAAATATGATGTAAATGTCTGGCTCACTTTTGCATGAATGTCTTTTCTTGCATATAATGGATTTCTGAGTCTGGGAATGTTTGGTAGCACCAAGTTTTATGTTGACTTCTTCAGTTAAGGGTCAGTGACACTTTCACATCTTCCAACAGTGGCTTATTAAGACCTCATGTACTATACCTCAGAGTGACAAATATCTTGATTGCCTTTCACTGTGAGACTACTACACTGCATTTTGTTTTCCCCTACTATATTGGCCCTTTATGTCCAAGCTCCATTAACTGCCTCCTGTATAGTTTAAAGATCTGTCTTTCTCCCTCTCCCTCTCCTCCACTCTCCCTCCCTTTCTTCTATTGGTCTTTTCCTTTCAGTATTTGGTTATGCAAAGAGAAACTTGCTTTAGTATCAGGCACTCCATCATAGCATGAAGTTCCAGTCACCTTGGAGTCTTTAAAGGAACAGATGAGAATGAGAAAGAGATATTGCTGTTTCTTGGGCTTTGAAAGATAGAGCAGAAAAGGTAAGACTTCGCATCTGTCAGCTATGGAAGAACTGTGCCTCCAGAAATTATCCAAGGAAATAATCTTTTCTGTCATGTTTTAGGTATTAATAATGTCTATGAGAAACTTGTGCCCTACCTTATATCTTCCCTGTACTTTAGTGACAATATTAACTAGGTGGTATGTCAACTCCAAGTATTGAAATAATTGCTACATAAATGGTTTTAGTAATACAAACTTTAGAAATCTCACATGAGAAAAACAATCTTTACCTACTGGTAGTTTAAAAATAAAACCCGTGAAAACAAAGGAAACAATCTAC